AACTCGAGTGAAAAGCAGGACTCGGAAAAAGATTGGCCCGCTGGAAAAATGGGAGACGTGTGCCACACAGCCACACAGCCACACAGCCACAGTGCGGCGTGCAAACGAGGAGCAGCGCGCTACCCATGGGAGGATCGTTATCCTCCTCCAGGCTGGCGGCGGGACGCGGCCTGTCATTAGGATCGATATATCTCGTACCTGCGTAACAACATCACAAACAAATGACACCGAGGGCCTGGATTCGCGGCCATTAGCGAGTCTGCGCGTACCTTCCTATCCAGGACGAGCATCTCCCTCCAGAACGGCGATCGTCCGTCCTCGCTCTTCCCCAGATTCACCCGTTCTCGCTTCAACTCGCTTCAACTCGCTTCAACTCGCTTCAACTCGCCATTTGCTTCAACAAGGCTGCCCCCACTGCTCCCAGTTCCCTCGGTGCTCCTAACACTGGCAGCGCCCTTCCATGTCGTATAGAGACACCGCGACTAGCGCATCACCTAATAATTGTACTTCCTCCTTCTTAACGTATTATTATCATTGGCCAATATTCCCAGATTTTTAGCGGGACTTCTTTCTGGATACGTGATATGGGCCAGACGTACCATAACTCCCAGAGGAACAGGTACAAGTCGGAAAGGGCGCGCTACAAGTATACGAGGATACGAGGATACAGCGCAAACTATCCAGGATATATATGGATGTCGGTACATAACCGGCGGGCATCTACAGTTCTCGATAGCTCAACGAGATAACCGGAAAGTTTCAATAAAGAGCACTGCGCCGGTGAGCTCTTGCGAGATCTTCTGTCCTCCCTTTCTCGAGCGTCGCTGGTGCACCGTGAACGCACCGTGAACGCACCGTGAACGCACCGTGAACGCAGCGCGAACGTGACTAAAGAGCCCTCGTTACCATAATCGGTCGAAAGGCCTGCGCCACAAGATAAAGGTGGCTCACTGGTGCGGCACTCGGGTGCATCAGTCTTGCACTTTCACAGGTCAGAAGAGGATGGCTAGATGGTGCTGACGGTGGTGCGGACGGGGATGTCGACGGTCGAGCAATGTATTCTTAAATCTCCAACAACAACAACAACAACAACAAGACCTAAAGACGGTCATCACCGCGCTCGTATAATAAGATCACACCGTGCCGGATCGTACGGGGCTCTTCGTGACCCGTAGTAAAGTACCGATCTCCTGCAGGGCTATCGACGCTCCAAGTTCTTCAAGATCGAGCAAAGTCTACTACACTACTACTTACAATAAGATCGATTCGTCAGAGTCCCCAGGGTCTCCAGAATCGCCGTAATCGAACACAGAAAATGATTATTCGATATAGTCAATCAAAAGTGGAATCGATGGATCGCTAGCTTTTCTTTCCACTGCCGATTATTGCCGACAATATCTAGCTGACAGTGGAAGCAACATTATTGGCAGCAAGTTCTTTCTCACTCAATTCTGATGGTCATAGCGACGTGTGTCATCGAGGCATGACTTATTCTCAGTGAATCCGATCTACCAGGTATCGATTCTGTCTCCCTATAAGCCGGCCGCAATATAGTACGAGTGGTAGGCAAGGAGTAAAAGAAAAGTGTATAAAGATCGAGAAGCAAGATCTTCGGGGATCTCAGGAGATCTCGGGAGATATTAAAATAAATCCCACCACGGACAAATAACGACAAGCCTCATTACTATAAATACGTCTGTGGACGCAGTCGTGGCCTGGCACTCTACCTACTCCAGAGGGCCGTTCGTGCCTGCGTGTGGCACTTCTCTCCTGCTTCTCGTATCTTTTATTTCCTTACCTTCTTCTTGTCTTCTCTCTGGCCCTATGAGAGCCTGTGGACTCACGGAGTGACTTCGGCTCTGGGCCAACGGGGGGTCTGCGTGGTCTACGTGGTCTACGTGGTCTACGTGGTCCCACTAGGGAAAGGGATGCTCGGTCGACGAGGTATGCTGCGAGTCATCAACGGTAGCCAACGGACTTATCAAACTCCCCAGAGCTGACGGGTCATCGTTCGACTGGAAATCGATCACAAATTGATATTATGTTAAGACTGCTTTTGCGAGACATTAGCTCATCGTCTGTTTCGAGGAGGTTCGCTGCAACGTTATACGAGTACGTAGGACGCAAAAAACTCGGAAGGAGACTTTCATATTTTCATCTACATTTCTGGTGTGGTCGACGAACGACATCACGAGGAAATCTCTTGAGTACAAGAAATTTCATCTGGACAGTACTTTATTGGATGTTATCATTTTATCTATATCAATTTGGATATGAAAGTCTCTCCTCTCGACATACCTGCCACCGTAACAGCTTATGTATGACGAACTGAAATTATATATAATTATATAATTATATATTTTTTGACACCGGCATTCTCGAATATCTTGAAATTTTTTAAAAAATATACGACGGTCGCGGGAATTTTAAAATATATTTAGAATATTTGAATATCTTAAACCACTTTATTACTACGGATGACGGATTACTCTTTACGTGTACATACACATCACTTGAAACGCTACGATGGGGGCGACGTCGTTCGGTCGAGAGACTTTCAGAGATTTGACGAAAGGCTCGTCTATTTAGTATAGCGATTAAAGGTATAGAATAAACGAACGACGGCTGGCGTTTCACGCACCTGGTTGGGCCCACGACACAGATAGACGAGGTATAGCCACTGGCGATTCTGCGCATTTGCACATTGACGTTGCTGGACCCTCTATGTTCTGATTAGCTGACTTTACGCATGTGTGTCTCCTCATGCCGCAAAATCAGTTCCATTTGAGTTGCCAGGATAACTCAAATCTCCTTTTTAACTTTTAATTATGGCGTTTGCGTCTACACTAAACAATTATTCCCGAAGCGGGAAGCGCCGTATCTCACGATTATATGTATATTGTCCTCCCCAGGGACAGATTATCGTACCTCGAGTATCCTGCTGTTTCAGGCGCTTCGTGATACAGTAATTTCACTCTCATTGTTGTACATACACATTCCATCGTGCCGTGAGGCCGTCATAGATATCACACGGTTGTGTCACTATGTGGGCCACGTGACGAAATTTTTCAAACGTTTTCTTATAATGTGCTTAGGATAATTTGCATAGTAGACATAGAACACAAGAATTCTAATAATTTTATACAGAAGGTACAATGCCCATGCCCATGCCCTGTGCCCATGGGATGATTTAATTAGTTATAGCCGATAGCTATGGCGTTAGGACGAGCCGTCAGGAGTCATAGCGATTTTAGTAATGGATACAAACGAGAGGATTTCGTGTTGGCGCCACACGGGGCCATCTGCCGCAGTGCCACACACGTACGTAGGTAGTACATCCCTCGTAGTGAATGCTCGAGCTCAGACGCCCACTCGCTCACGCATTCGCCCTCTTTCCTTCTCGCAGTTGCGTGAGCAAAGGGATGCGGTTCACACCCTGAGAAGCATTGTTGTGGCACAATGGCCAGTGACAAGTCACCGGGGCACAGTGGCGGGCCATGACGTGATAATCCAAACGATTAGTGGCTCATGTCAGGAATGATTTGTCGAATGGGAATTCGAACCTCGGTAGTCGGGACAGTAAGATACCCTTGTATTGTGGATGCAGCTCCGATGGCTTGCACAACATATAATGAACTCTACCTGCCTGCTAGGTCGAGGCTCCATGTGTATACAGACTCCGCGCGAAGAGCACGAGCGACGTGGAAGACTGTAGTTAGCGACTATTAATATCATCGATCGGGATCGATAGTTCTGCCTCGCGAGGCGTCATAATGATACGGTCGGATCGAACGCGAGCATGAGGTTCGCCCTCGTCGATGTCTGCTACAAGCTACAAGAGTACAAGACATCCGCACTCCGGGTCCCACCACGCATCAGCAATATCCCTGTGTGGGTTACACGTAGAGCGAGGCAAACTGACCCCTAGGGAGAGAGCCGCGCTCGACGAACACCAACCACGTACAAATAATAATATGCTATTAATATATTGGAAGAGGCGAAGCGATAGGACGATAGGGCGATAAATCGTGTTTCGCCATCAGGGCACAGTAAAATATCGGCAAGTACCGTTCTACAGTAAATTGCTTGTAAAAATATATTTTTTCAACCTCACGTAGAAAAGGCTTTCTCGTTGAGCTTTGCTTGTGGACCTTCCACGTGCATGCACGTAGCCCGCGTGTCTTGACTCTCGCGCCTCGACGAGCAGTGTCCTACGAGTACGTACATATCCATGTTTTCCTCCAGATGTGCTTCATCGACGTAGAGTGCGTTAGCATGCATCAGTGTTAATGGCATACCTAGCCGGCCGGCAACAATTACTCCGAGTTTATTCAATTAGCATAACTGTCGCGCGAGAAGTCTCGGGGTTAACGGCAATCGCGTGCACCAGACGCAACACTGCTAATACCAATGATCGTTATTGTGATTAATGTCCGAGTTCTCAGAGGGCAACCGGTCTATCACGTTATGGCTACTTCAGCTTTATCCCTGGCAGCTAGCACGTGTACTGCTATTCCCAGCGAATACGAGGGGATGAGTATTACTTCAGACAGGATCATCCTGAATGTCGGGCCGCGAGTATTTAACGCATTGGGTATTCTAACACTTTTACGACGCAGGGCTCTACTACTCACGTTCAATTGAATCCAATCGAATACAACTGAATCTAACTGACCAGTAGGATCCAGAAGAGAACGGGGTATCGGATTCAAATTTTCCTGTTTTCCGATCCCATTAAACGACGATCATAAAAAGAATGACCCGGCGTCGTAGTAGACTTGAGCGGCGATTAGGAGGACAGATTATCTTGCGTCGGTGTCGTCGGTAGCGAAGTTTTAGCTGGTTTTAGCGATGATCGAGAAGTCACTGTTGTTTGATATCTTCACCGTACTCTAGGGAATTTGAAGAGGTGCGTTCACAGCGATGCCTCCCGCTATGGCACTAGATTACACTAGGCCAGTCGAACAGACTCGAGGCAGAGATGTCTTTAGTACCGGGACCAGCCGCCGGGGTCAGCTCCTCGAGGAGGCAGGAGACAGCAGGAGGCTTGTGTTTCTCTCAGGGCGCATCCTCCGGAAAAATAATAAACAAAAGGACCGACAGATCTTTTTTCCCGTGTAGGTGTTTAATAATGTGCCGCGTCCGAACGGTGCTCATTTGAGTGATCCTCGCGCCTGGTGTACCAGTGCTTGGTGAGTCAGTTTTCGAGATACTCGTTGATTCTCCTGCAATTATCGGTACGCCCTGCTACGTAATTAACTGTCGTTCTTTGAGACAATATGGATTTACTAGCCAAGCCTCACGACTCTTTAGGTTATGTTGACAGTCCGTAAGACTGGTATATCGCAGTGAGAAGGATTCGATATGTTGAGAAAGCTGTAAAAATATTCCTATTTTCGTATTTGACTGCGGCATCTTGTATCCACTGCATTCTGTTTCCATCGAATTTCTTGTGCCATCGATGGTGCGTAAAATTATGCAGTACAGCCGACGAATAATTTGGGTTTTGTCAGTGATATTCCAAGTTACGAGACATAATCGCCACACTTTCTCGGCGAGGCTTCGCTATTTGTGGATTCTTATTTCTAGTAATTTCGAGGCTTACACCAAACGCGGTCGTCTATTCCGAATGTTATAAATCTAATCTATCGGTTGTAAATCGAACGATCTTGTTTGTGCATTTGCAAAGATTGTTATGTATACTTAAAGTCATGTGCTATATTTGCCTTCCTTTCTGCCTTCGAATGTTCATAAAGGCCGACTTGTTCCTTCTTGCCTATTCTTCTTTTTCTTGCATAATTCTTTACTTTGAAAGTCATTGCTTATTTTAAGAATGACAAAGTTTTATGTAGCCAAATTTATTTCTAATTGGAATATCCTGGGTATTGACTTGTGATATTTGAGTTATTTTCTTTTTGTTTAACTATATAAAGGAACCATGTGCATGAGAATGTGCATATGGCTTTAAATTATCTAGCGACATAGATTTTTCTTTGTTTCATTTGCAGCTGTAAGATGACAGAGGGTGGTACGTCCAGGATGAAGCGCAATGGTGCTCGACTGTTCAAGAATCCACCACAGCCACACATGTGTATACAAGATTATAGGAAGGTACTCATTTCTTTTTAGATATAGCTATTGCATATAATTATTTAACTTTACTTCGCTGTCTTATAAGGTGTCGTCTTTTCCTGTTGATGCAGTCTATCAAATTTATCACAATTATTATAAGAAAAAGTTGACAGTAGGAAGATAATGAAGAAAAAAGATGTTACGAAGTGAAGTAGGTGCACTATATTGGAAAAGTTTTTTCATGAATAAAATTGACAATTTATCGTTGAGTTGATACAAAGTTTTTAATTAACGATCATACATTTTTAACTTGAATAATTATTAGTTGTTTCATTTAATACATTGAGCAATTCTTAAGATAAGACAATTGGCCCTGGTAAGAACTTTTTTCAGATTGAAAGTACGTAATAATATGGTTCTACTTTTCAAGGCATTGCATAATATTTGTTTGAAAAATTTCTGAAGTTTCCTGTTGTATCATTGTTAAACGTTACTTATAAGGAATTAATGGTCCTCTTTTATTTATCTAGGGATTCACAGAACCTTGTTACGTTAATGTACTATCATGGGGAAAAATTGCAATGCCTCATAGTCCTTCGGACCCCATACCTCTTTACGGTGGCATGAGGGTCTCTCCCCCTCGAACAGAGAATCCTCAGATGGCCGTGTTTGCAGTGATGGTCAATCCAGAGATTCTTCGACTGAATGGCAAAAACGCTCAGGATCCAAAGGTAAGTAATTCTTTAAAGATATAATATAAAAAAATATTACTGCATTTTCAAAAGAAAATATGGGTCGAGAAAGAGAGAGAGAGAGAGAGAGAGGGGGGGGCAGAATCTATCCCAGATTTTCAAGTACACTCGTTTTTCCACAGGAGCGTTCCACACTAATAGAACTTCTTCTGGATTTTGTGGAAGCTATGAACGAGGATGTAGTGTTCACGAGACGGTACACAGTCCTAAAGGACCGGGATATAACGGGAGAGTTAAAGGAAGTTTGGATGGCGGTTCAGGCTAAGCGCGATCGGGAACAACCACCCCAGCAAGAGACTTGGATAGATGCGCAACCGCCAGTACCGCAGTATCCACAGTCTCAGGATCAATGGCAGCAACAGCAACGACAACAACAACAACAGCAGCAGGAATATGTGTCGCAGCCACCTCAGTATCAGACCAGCGTCTCATATGGCAGAGTAGCAGCAGAGGTTTCAAACTACGATGGATATGGACACCAGCCGCAAAATGTTCCTCAAAACGATCAAGTGTATCAGTCTCGACAGATTTTGGCTCAACAGTATCATGGTATCGTTTCACAGATCACTCAGGATCGGTACAATTACCGAGAACGTGGCAGGCAGAATGCTTCCCAAAATCAATCTCAGCAAAACTGCCCGGCCTATCCCGCGCCACAATATCAATTTCAGCAGCTACCCCGACAGATGCTGCCCCAGTACGTGAACTCAATTATGCATCCGCCCACGAATCCAAACTATGGTCCAGCAAATAGTGCCAGCGTCAATCCTGGAATGAGTCCCAATGTCCCGGGACATTATCAGCAGTATATACCGTTACAGCAACAAATGGTAGGTCAACGACAAATAGAGAACGCGATGCATGCTGACGTTCATCGCATGCAACAACAGATACACGTGAATCACATGCAGCCGGTACCACAGTATGAACCTTCCGGTACTTTCAACGTTCAAGCATCCTCATCAATGAATGTCCTCAGACTCGGCAGGCCACATATGGGGGTAGCACAAAAGAACAACTCCTGCAAGAGGCAATCTAACTCACCGACTCACTCGACTAAACAGCTTAGCTGCGTGAATTGTCAAAGCAAGGATGTATCTGAGAACGGCACCAAACCTAAGAGTCCAGTCAAGGTGCTTCAGAGGGAACCACCGTTGTCAAATGATCGACAGAGCTTTCCGCAATCTTTGTCCCCAGATAAGACTAAGAGCTTGGAGAAAGGTACGGAAGACGAATTGGATCCACAAAGGAATGTGCAGGTGACGGATCTCGACGAGGATCTTGCCAAGGGTAAAGATGCTTCGGAGAGCGTGGAATCAACTAAAAAACAAAGAGAGGTTAGTCTCCAAGAATCCACTGTCATGTCGAGAAAAGAGATTGACAAAAATGATCCTGATGAGTCGGAAAACACTCGGGACAAATACCCTACCGCGGAAGCAAGGGATGAGAGTTCTCCAAGCAGTTCGAGTCCCAGTAGTAAGTCTAGCAAGACGAGAATAATGGTGCTGAAAAGGAACAAGTCTGGTAGCGAGTTCAAAGTTGGTGCGAAGGATCCGAAGATAGTGAAGAACGGCGGTGCGAGACACGCGGATCAACAGATCTACGAGATCGAGAGTGAGAGGTTAGGTGGAAGAGAGAAGGACGCAGATGAGCAGTTCAATCATACTCTTGTTGAGCTCGAGAGAAAGCTGAATGACAGCAGGAATGGTTTCGTCGGGAAGCAAAAGACAGGAGAGAGCCCAAAGCGCTCTCAGACGGTGAATAACATCATCAAGAGCGTCTTCAAGATACATCCTGGCACGTCGAATAACGATGATTCATCTAAGAGGAGGACCAACGGCCAAAACAAGAGTAACGGCAAGTCCGCGTCGAATGACAACGATGACGTGTATCAGGGATACACAATACTGAGAAAGGCCGAAACTACTCAAGAAGACGTTATGAGCGAGATCGCTCAGATATCTATTCAAGACTGCAAAGACACGAGCGAAGTCAGCGCCGTGCTCTCGTGATAGCCTAGTTATAGGAGGTATTATGTGGTAGACCACAGGTAAGAAGTGAATCAGTGTACATAGATAATTTACCGGAATAAAGAGGTAAAGTGATAGCGAAATAACTCGTGCGTTTGCGTATGCTTGCGTATGTTTGCTGCGTTACGGGTCTTCATCTTGAACGCTACGCAAAGGAGGATGCTCTCTTACTCTCTTGCTCTCTTGCTCTCTTGCTCTTTTACTCTCTTACTCTCTCCCTCGAGATTATTCGTGTCTCGACAAGCCCGTCTTTGAGCTCGTCGCACGTTATTTTTGACATCTCCATCCCCCCCATTAACTGCTGTCCGCGGGTGCTGGGGCTACGGCTGCGCATCTTCCGTTCAACAGCCACCTGCATCGGATAATTCCAAATTGTTCGAAGGGATATCTCGAGGGTGCGTTAAGCGAGTAGCTAAGCGGTTCTCGAGGGACCCTGCGAAATCTACAAAGAGAGGAAAAAAGCTTCGCAATTAAATTGAGGAAAGCTACAAGGACTGGCGCTCTCGGTTACACGTGGACGGGACACGGAGAGGCACAAGAGAATGATAAGTCTCTACGAAGCATCCGTTACGTCTCAAAGAGGATATCGTGTAGACTCACAGTGCCCCAGGCTCAACGCTCTCGTGAAGAACTGACATTGACTATTTTTTAAATTAACACTTTAAGCGAGGCACCACGACTACTCTCACTTATATTCTAAAGCACGTAGAGGACGGGGGGGGGTGTCTAGTGAATCGAAGGAGGGAAACAGAACGTTAAGAGAGAATATAGAAGACTAATGAAAAACGGTTTCGGTAATGTAACACATAAGAGACGTAATCGTAAAACGACACACCGAATCACTTCTTACGGCGGCGTCTATTTTCCCCGCGTGTTTCCAACCAATAATATAAATTAGAGAATTTGATTCCGATACGATGGTCGTGAAATAGTACTGTGTCGCCATGTACTTAATCTGCGCAAATCATTCTGTACCAGATATACGCGGAGACGCACGTTACGAAATGATGCTTCATCCATGTTACAAATAGACGAGGTATGTACAGCCAGTAGCGATCGTATTTTTGTAAAGATCGCGCGGGGATCAGTGACGTCACGTTAAAAACTATGTCAGTTCTGCCTTTAGGGGACTCATTTACGTTTCGGTTTTTAAGAAGATGATGGCCCTTCAAAATGGAACTGGAAATAGATGTTGCTGCGTGACGACGACGACGACGACGACGACGACGTCACTCTCCATATGCGCAGAACCGCTATCGGGTATATCACCTCGTCTATTTGTATCGTGGCTTCGTCCATAGGTCTTGCTGCATGTCCGCGGATTCACATTCACAAGGTGCCATTGACGAAAGGATGAAAGAGGCGAGAAAAATCATCGTCAGCCAGTAATTTCGTTGCGAATTTCAAATCAATCTGGATTTCCTCGATGTTCTCAACTTCTGTTTCGGAGAGACTTTCAATAAATGCGTTACACTTAGCAACAAGCCGAACGAATCGAAAAACAGAGTTGAAATGTGCTTGTAGAGATACATCCACATGTAAGGTCAATAAGCCGCCACTAATAGAATAGAAGCTAAAAGATCTTCGACGTGGATGAAGCGAAATGGAGAAAATGGAGGCCTCAACTTCTTTGGGTTTGTAAATTGTACGCTTTGAAATGGCCAGGAGATATGCGTATGGATTTCCTTCCTTGATCCGCCTTCATAGAGATACTTTTGTCACGTTTTCTTCCAACGACCCGAAGTCGACGATCCTTTAGCCTCGAATCTGACAACGCTTACAACTACATATGTAGTTAGATATCGACGCGCCTGCACCGACCAATACGTGTAAACAGTAATGTCAAATTTAACGAGGATGCAAAGTTTCAGTCTATCCATATAGAATAAAGTCTTCTCCAGACTGTAGAAACTCGCGTAGCTGCCATGTTCGAAGAATCTGCTTTAATAAAAATCTGCTTGTTGTTGGAAAGGCGTGCGACGGGGGGGGGAGGGGGGGGCGGTCACTGCACAGATGAAAATTAGGAGATGTCTGACACTGCCAGGAACAGTGGCTTTTATTCCGTCGTTGGTGTCGTAGGAATTAAAGAAATCGGGAGGAGTCACTTTTAAAAAGAATACAGGTGGAGTGGGTGTAACTTGAGCAGCGACATACTTAACTTCTTTTCCTCTCCGCCTTGCCCCCCCCCCCCCCCCCCCCCC